CACACACACACACACACACACACACACACACACACACACACACATATTTATTCATATTTGCCTGCTGTCTTCACACTGAGTTGAATAAATTAGGTATCGGTTGTCTGAACCAATTCTAATGATTTTAACCACTTACAACCCTAAAAAGTTTAAAATGTCGAAATATGAAGGTACTCCTCAAGCCATATAGCCTGATTCTCATCTGCTCACTCTGTAGGAACATGGTGGCCTTTTGCGGATCTTTCCAGAGGGAACTGCTCAGTTTGCAGACATTGAGCCCAAGTTTGACAGACTTTTGCTCTTCTGGTCAGACAGACGGAACCCACATGAGGTCCAGCCAGCTTATGCCACGAGGTCAGTGATAGTGACGTTTCATTTTTTTTTTAATGGTCCTGTAAGTTGCTTGTGCTTATATACAATTATGTGTGTATTTATGTGCAGGTATGCTATAACGGTGTGGTATTTTGACGCTGATGAGCGAGCTCGTGCCAAAGAGAAATATCTAACAGGTGAGATCTGCTCAAACATGACCAGGCGCTTCCACTGATTTTTAACAAGACGTTCCTTCCTAATCGACAGTTGTGCAGGCCAAAATTAACTTTTTGTCATTATTTACTCACCCTCATGCTGTTCCAAAACTGTCTGACTTTCTTTTTTGGTGGAACAGAGCAAGAGACGTTTAGCAGGTTGTTTATGCTGCTCTTTTCTATTTGGTAGAATTAATTGGTCACTGGGGCTGTCAAGCTCCTGAAACAAGATGTGCTCTATAAAAGAAACATAGATTTTGTAGGATTCTCTGATTAATAGAAGGTTCAAGACAACATTTATATGTAATAGAAAATATTTGTAAAATTTACTGTCACTTTTGATCAATTTAATGCATCCTCACTGAATAAAAGTATTAATTTCTTTCAATAATAAAAAGTTTACTGACAAAAGACAGAGTGATGTAATTTTGAAGTGTTTTTATAAACATACACAACAAGAAGCCCATACGATGATCAAACAGTAAAAAACCATAATATTGTAAAACATTATTATAATTTAAAATAACAGTTTTCCTGTTTTAATATATTTTAAATGGTAATTTATTTCTCTGATGGACAAGCTGAATTTTTCGCAGCCATTACTCCAGTCTTCAGAAATCTTATTCTGCTGCTTAATATTTTATGGGAACTGATGCTTTTTTCAGGAAACTTTGATGAATAGAAAGTTTAAAAGAACAGTATTTATTTAAAATAGGAATATATAACATTTAAATGTCTTTACTGTTCCTTTTGATAAATTTAATGTGTCCTTGCTGAATAAACATATTCATTTTGTTAAAAAAATCTGACTCCAGTTGTTTAAACGGTAGTGTAGTAACCAGTAACTGCTATCTTTCGTTGTATGAACTGTGTGTATGACATGAGGGTGAGCAAATGATGACAGTATTTTTATTTCCGGATGAAGCATCATTGAAATAATTACTGAGCCACAGTGAGTGAATTACTTTCTAATAACAGGTATGGATTATCAGAGAGAGCAAACGGCAGGTTTATATCAAAATTTGTGTCTTTCTGCCTTTTAGGTGCAGGTGAAAGAGGTATAAAAGTGGAGCTAAACAAGCCGTCGTAGCCCAGCTAGTGAAGGAGGGATGAATGAAGTGGAGTGTGGGGTTGGACCTCCAGAGTGCTACTGCCTGCTGCTGAGAGATGATGTGCAGAGAGGAAGTGACTTCTTCTCTCGCTCACCTCTCCATCTGTCATCTATAAGGGGCTTCTCATAGTGACTCTGAATGTGATAGAGCTGTGAAGACAGACGTGCATTAATATGCTTTGTGTTTTCTTTATGAAGAATGCTGGCTTGAGCATGAGCATAGGATGGACATAATGCTAAATAGAGAGTGTGTGTGTGTGTGTGTGTGTGTGTGTGTGTGTGTGTGTGTGTGTGTGTGTGTGTGTGAACTTGTGTTCAATACAAGTTTATTTTGAGCTATTTCCCTTCCGCCAGCTTTGCACATGTGTTAATAAAGGTACCGTTTTGTTTGGCAATGTGCATACACCGAAAACCCGTTTAGAAGGTTATAAGCTCTGTGCGAAGTCCTGTATGTGTTATTCTGCTCGTAAGCCACTGTAATTATTGGATTTGTGTTTTTGTATGGCTCGTAATACCGTTTTCCAGGCTCTCCTAATTGGAGCTACACGGAACGTGCTTCTTTATCATGGCTTGCACCTTTTACATAGTAACTGGGTGCTTTGCTGGATTGTCCTTGCCAGTTATCAGCGATATGTCTGTTGTTGCAGACGTTACATGTCTCCGTCTTAAGCCAAACTTGACACCTCATGTCTGTCCAGCAGCTATGAGTTTTAAGTAAAAAAAGCAGTTTTCCTAAATACAGCTTTTTTGGCAGTGTGTGCATGTGTTATTGGCACCATCTTATGCCTCCTAATGGTATTACCCTTGCTGTCACTAAAAGTCATGTGATGATCACACACTGTTACTGTGTGAGTCCTGCAGCTCCCCCTAGCGATTTGTAGCTGCAAATGCAAATCTTGCAAGAGTTTATCAGAAGATATATCATCTACTGCAGATATGAAGAATTCTACTAGATGGAAAACAATGGTTTCAAATAATGCACAATTGTCAACGTATCACTTAAAGTGAATTTTAATACATTGATTTTGCAGAACAGCACTGGGTCACTAACACATCGTGTGCATACTTTTTAAAAATGAGGTTTTATGACTGGAAAAGTCATACAAATCACAATTTCCACAAACTATATTAAGCAGCACAATGTTTTAAACATTGCTAAAAATAAATGTTTCTTGAACACAAAATCAGCATACAAAAATTATTTCTGAAGGATCGTGTGACACTGAAGACTCGACTTTCAGCTTTGCCATCACAGAAATAAATTACATGATTTAAAGGCTTTTTTTGGGGGGGCATTTTTGCCTTTACTATCAGATCAGTGTAGAGCTGACAGAAAGCTTATTGGAAAAGGTTGTGCCGGGATTCGAACTCGGGACACCTGCCTACCACTATATGTCAGCGCGCTGCCCACAAGACTGTCATTACTGAAGAAAATTACATTTTAAAGTATAAAGAAACTTATTTTAAAATTAATAATTTTTCACAATGTTACTATTTACGGTATTTTTGATCAAATAAATGCAGCCATAAGAGACACATAAGAAACACTTAAACTGTCTTGTTTAAGATGTGACTGGAATTTAAATTTATATCACTGTAGTATTACCACAACAACCAGAATTGTCTGAAAAGCCTGGATGTATAGATATACAGCCTGTAGCTCTCTTGAAAGACATCCAGCTAAAAAGTGAAAACAGGCCTTAAGATCTTTCTGATACTCTCACACGGCTTTGGTAATTGAGGATTTTATCCAAGTGGGAGAGAAGGGATTAGCGTTCATGACTACAAGCCTTAATTAGCCACGTGATTAACTGACTTTGAAATAATCCACTTTAATGAGTAACAAAAAGTTCATCGGGGACATTAGATTAGACATTCTGATGTTATTCAGCCAAACCAGTGCTACAGATGCTGGAGATAGTTTGAAATATTTGAAATGTTCACACATCCACTCCAGCATTGCTGTATAACATTAAGACAAAGAGTGCTGTGTATTTAACGTGCAGTCTTTAGCATTCTCATGCTCATGGTATTTACATCTTTCTGAGCCTCACTGCCATTGAACTTCGAACTTGAACGTGACAAGAACATGTGTAAAAGATGTGAGCAGATTCTAGTTAACACTGCTTCAGTGCATTTGAGATTCAAGATAACGACAAGACTGAATACTTCTTTTGTTTATTGAACAATTTGTCTCTTCCATATAGGCCTAGGCTACAAATCAATTATGCAAAAGAAATCTAATCCAAACTATCATTTGATCCCCCTTTTCTGTTAAGTATCAGTGATAGGCTAATATAATATAATGACAAAGTTTGCCTGAAATCACATTACATATATATTTCAAGGGTATTACCAGATAATACAAAGAATTATAAATACAGAAGTTAAAGTAAACCTACAAAATATTTCTTGCTCGTACACCTACACAATATTAATGATAAAATTAATATTTTACAACTGTAAAAAAAAAAACTAGACTTATTAAGACCATTTGAAAAATAGTACAAAATAAATGAAGAATACTAAAGTCTTTATCTTAAAAAAAATCAACCTTTTTGTTTCCCGTCAGGAGCTTTAAGTTTGAAAAGCCGCGGTTTGTCTCGTCTTGTGTCGCTGTGCTGATTCTGGCTTCACACGCTCGCTCTCATTGAGCAGTATTTGATCCGCTGCTTTATGGTGAGTGAAAGAACAGCTGCTATTATTAGTTTATCCTCAGTTTATCATAACTATTTGACACGAGTTACTTTGACCATAAATCAAGCTCATGCTTACTGGATTATTTGTTTTAATGTATTTAAAACTGGAATTAAATTTTAAAGTTAACTTGCATTTATTAACTACACAGTCTGCAACTTTGTACAGCTCTGCAGGTTTCCATTTCGCTTAAACGTGTTGTTATTATATTTTATTTCTTATAGTTTTTCGATAATGGCTGCTGTTGAATTCATCAAAGACCTTTGTACTCCAGCGCTGATCATTGACCTGGATAAAGCGAAAAGAAACGCTGAAGGCATGCTGGAGCGCTTCCACAAACTAGGGGTCCAGCTCCGACCTCACATGAAAACACACAAAACACTGTGAGACTCTCATCTCAACAACACCAACCTCTTGAAAATGTTGTTTTATTAATACCCTTATCACGTCAGGCTTCTTCACTAGTCATTTTGACTGTCTGTCTACCAAATTTTTTTTTACAGTTCTACTAAGCAATGCTCTTGTTCCAGCAGTAGATGACCAGGCTTTGAATGCCTTCATAACAATTAATGTTATTGCAGACAGCAGGCTGGTGCATGTGTGTGGGCCTGGTTTTGCGAAGCGCAAGCCATCTCTCTCTGGCACACACACACACACACACACACACACACACACACACACACACACACACTTTTAAGCAAGACATTTCACAACAAGAAGTTTTAAATGATCAAACAATAGATGCAAAATGTAAAAGTATTTATTCAAAGGAACATTTCACCACAAAATAACATTTCTGTCATCATTAACTGTAATGATTATCAGAATGATTCTTACATCATTAACTTTTTCACTAGTAATTTTGTAAATAAATATTTGGACATTTAAGGCACTTTTGAATTTTTTATTATATAAGAAAATATCAAACCAAGTGCCATTTATGTACTGTAAAAAGAAAACAAAGGATTTGGGCAAAGGAATATTAACCTCAAAGTAAAAATCGTGTCATGTTATTACCATTGTTTCTTTCCTCATTAATGATATCTGTCTTCAGGGAATGTGCGGACATCATGACAGGAGGCTCTCGTCGTTGTATTGTTGTGTCTACTCTAGCTGAGGCATCATTCTATGCTGATAACGGCTATGACGATATACTTTATGCATACCCTCTGCCATTTGATAAAGTGGAGCGCTGTGCCGAGCTGTCCGAGAGACTTTCTCTATTCCACGTCGTGGTGGACAACCGCCTCGCCCTGCAGGAACTGAAGAAGAGACCTCTGAAACAGGGAAAAGTCTGGAAGGTGTGGATGAAACTGGATTGTGACAATGGGAGAGGTAACACTTGAAGATGGCGTTCAGCAAATGTACGTCCAAATGTTTGAAGCATGGTTTTAGGTGTACTGCGGTTGGATAAATAGTTTTGTTTTTTGTTTTGAAAGCGGGCGTTCCTCATTGTGACCCTGCTGCACTACAGCTTGCCCTGGAGATCTGGGATACTTCAGGGGTGGAGCTGACGGGAATTTACGCCCACTGCGGGAACACCTACGCCTGTCAGGGGGAGGAGCAAATCAAAGCTGTTGCTCAGGAAACCACTACGGTTGTGCTACAGTTCATGGAGAAGTATGCTGATATCATCTAACACTCGAAGTTAATCTTTAAAAACTTTAAGTATTTGACAACACTAACAAATGTAATCTCTTGCAAATAACAAATAAATAAATAGTACTATACATTATAATATTGTGATATCTAAATTTACAGACATTTAAAATAATCGTTTTTTTTAGTATTTTATTTTTAATTTCTGTAGACAACAAAACATAATTTTAAGCACAGATAATTTACAACACTAATAAATGCAACCTTTAGCAAAAAAAATAAATGTTTTTGTATTTTATATTGTACATTATAATTTTGTGCCATCGACTATTCACTTATAGCCTTAAAATTAAGATATTTTATTTTTAAATGTTTTATTTTTAATTAGACAACTTAGACAATTTAGTTTTTAAATATTAATAATTTAACAACACTAATAAATGTAATCTTTAGTACAAAATAAATTAAAAGTTTATTTTTAGATTGTACATTATAATATTGTGATGTCTATATTCACTTTTATTGTGATGACTATATTCACATTTAAAATAATTGATTTTAGTGTTGTTTTCATTTAGTCAACAAAACGTTTTAAAAGCTGATAGTTCAACAACACTAATAAATGAAGTTTTTTAATATTGTACATCATATTGTGTTGTCTAAATTGCATTTAAAATAACTGAATCACTTTTTAGTATTTTATTTTTAATATAGTTAAAGCATATCATTTTAAACACTAATTTAAACACTAAATGTACATTATTTTTATATTGCATATTATAATATGGTGTCTAAATTCACTTGTAGCATTTAAAATAATTGATTTTATTTTTTAGTGTTTTATTTTTAATTTATTTTGACAATATACCATATAACTTTAATGTAGTAGGCACATAATATGAACATTATCATTAGCTTTCGTCAAAGCTTTAGTCATTATCATTATCATTTGAAAATTGGAATTCATCCAATTCATATCAATGCATCCCTACTTAATATGATGTGATGGTATTATTCATACTATCCATAGGTTGAAGGCTGCTGGAATACAAGGTGTCAAATCCAGCATTGGCTCCACCCCTTCCTGTAGCCACCCAGTCCCAGACATAGCCATGTTGAGTGAGGTGCATCCTGGGAACTACATATTTTATGGTCTGTGTTGCCATGTTCTCCTGTTGTAAGCAGTGATGTTATCAGCTTGTTTTGAATCATAATATTATCCGTTGCATGTCCAGATGTGCAGCAGTCCCTCATCGGGTCCTGTAGACTTGAGGATGTTGCAGTACGGGTGCTGACGCGGGTCATAGGCCACTACCCACACAGGAACCAGTTACTTGTAGATTGTGGGTGGACAGCACTGAGTCATGACGGTGGGGGGCGCTTACCTACAGGATACGCTATCATCGAAGGACACCCAGAACTCAAGTAAGAGATCATGTGGATGGATATGAAGGTGTTTTTCTCCAGGTTTTTTTTTTTTTTTCAGTTACTGGCAGATTGATTCATTGATTGATTGAAAATGGGGAAATTTATTATTATTAATTCATTTCTCTTATTTTTACATTTATACTGTTACATTTACATTGTTCAAAGGTTTGGGGTCAGTAAGACTATAATTATTTTTATTTAAATTAATACTTTTTTTTTTCAGCAAAAATGCATTGTTGTTCAAAAGTAACAACAAAGAAATAAAATTAAAAATATATATATTTCAAATAAATGCTGTTCTTTTGAACCTTTTATTTATCCTGAAAAAATGTATCACATTATACACAAAAATGTGCATTAAGCTGAAAATCAAGATGAACACTGATAATAGTATGAAATGTTTCTTGAGCACCAAATCTGAAGATTTCTGAAGGATCATGTGACACTAAAGACTAGAGTAATGATGCTAAAAATTCAGCTTTGCATTACAGAAATAAATTACATTTTAATATACATTACAATAGAAAATAGTTATTTTCAATTGTAATGATATTTCACCCTATTATTGTTTTTATTGTTGATCTGAAATTGATCTATTATTGATTAAATAAATGCAGTCTTGGTGAGCATAAAATACTTCAAAAACATTAAAACTAGGGCTGTCAGTCGATTAAAATTTTTAATCTAATTAATTACAGGGTGCTGCGATTAATTAATCTAATTAATCACAAACTAATTTGGCTGTGAAAATACCCCCAAAAGATCATTTAAACTTATTATCATGTTAAATGTTTAGGCTACAATGGCCTAACGAAGTATGGAACATAAAAGAAGATAATTTGAGAAACATCTCAGTATTTTTTGTTCATGCAATGAAAGTCACTAGTGACCAAAACGGCTTAGTTACCACCAGTATTCAAAATACCTTCTTTTATGTTGTGCAAAAGAAAGTAATTCACTCAGGTTTGAAACAATGTGAGGGTGAGTAAATGATCACAGAATTTATTTATTTATTTTTGGTGAACTATCCCTTTAATGTAATTTTTATTTATTTATTTTTTAATAAATGAAATGATACTCCAGCAGGTGGCAGTAAATGTCTATAAGAGTCGATTCGTTCAAATGGCTGATTCATTCAGGAATTCAGTAAACGGCTCACTCTTTGAATCATTGGTTCACACGATTCGTTCAAAACGCGGATTCATTCAAAGAAAGAAACTAAACACCGCTGTTTTGCTCGGAGACGCACAACAGGGGGGTATTCCAAAAAGCAGGTTATGTGACATACCCGGGTATGTTTGAGGATAAGCAAGCGAATAACCTCAGCTTTCACACGATTCGTTCAAACGGCTGATTCATTCAGGAATTCAGTAAACGGCTCACTCTTTGAATCATTGGTTCACACGATTCGTTCAAAACGCGGATTCATTCAAAGAAAGAAACTAAACACCGCTGTTTTGCTCGGAGACGCAATCAAACAAACAATATAATTCATATTCTCAAGGATTAAAGATTAAACGGAAAAAAAATAAAAATGATTGCACAACCATCAATTAGATGGTGATATGCACTAAGCATGTAAACGACCATTGAACAACAGAAGAAGAAAGAAACAGCATGGCGCACTTTTTCTTAGCGTCCGTTTCCATAGCGACTCGTCGATCCGTCACTCTGTTGAGAATGTCTTGAGTCTTAACCAGGAACATACTCTGAGTTGAATGAACTTACTCCCAGACTCGTTTTTGGAATCACATACCTCGAGTAAGCAAGGTTTGGGGTTAATCAACCGAAAGTTCAGGGTTTAGCTGACGGTAAGTTAACCGTGCTTTCTGGACTACACCCCAGTTCTGCTGTGGCTTTTTAGGTAATATTTTCGTTGGCAAAATTGAACAAGAACACACACTATTGTGTTTAAAATATAGCACAATATTAACTTCTTATTTACTGAACTGTTGTATAAAATCACATGCACTCGTGTTCTCCTGTGATATTGCTGTCTTTGCTGGTGTGATATTGCTTATCATATGATATAAATATGAGACAAAAGCTCATACAGGAGCATTTTTTGCCCCAATATCTTGAATTTTAGGGCATAACTGCATTAATGGAGTTGTTGCCCTGCATCATATTTGTCAACAGTCAAGTATATGAAATGTAAGGGGCATACAGGTTTGGGGGCGGTGCCAGTGCTTTAACTGCGTTAAAATATTTTAATCGCGTTATTTTTCATAACTAATTAATTAAGTTAATGCATTAATCTGACAGCCCTAATTAAAACACTTACATTTGTAGCAAATGTGCGCTTAAGTTTATTTTTAGCATATACTGTAAAATGACTGATTGTAGCTTTTAGTGTTTTTTATTTTTTAATATCAGCCATTTATCAGTTATTAGCCGCAACATAAATATAACTATCAACTTACTGGTCTACATTTTCATATTGCATCCCTGTTTCCATTAAGTCATCTGTCTGCATAGAATTTAAGTGATTTGAACTGACAATCAAAATGTGATTCATGTGAGAATAAATATTTAAGCATCAAATCCATTCTCAAATATTAAAAACTGAGATTGGATAATCCTTCTCTGTACATGTTTAGATGTTTATTTTACATCACAACAGTGCGAGTAGGAGGTTTTGTGAGTCAGATGATATAAATAGCATGAAGGGTGTCGTCTGTTTTGCAGACTCCTGTCTATGACTCAGGAACACGGCAGGGTGGAGCCAATCTCTGGAAAACTGGACTTCAAGCAGTTCCCACTGGGGTCACTCCTCACACTCATGCCTTACCATGTGAGTTACTAACCATCTCCCTCAAACAAAGCTCACAGAAACACACTTTATTCATCTGTATGAAAGGACATTCTCCATCTGACTAAGCCATTGCTTGTACATCAGAAGTCTTTGACTGTTTTCCTTCAGGTCACAAATTTGGACATTAACACGGTACTAAAACTGTTTATTGAACAAGAGTAAACAACAATGTTAAAGTGCATACTTCCAATACTACAAAACATTATTAACTTGGGCTGAATTGGAAAAAATATCCAACAATTCGCTGCACAAAAAGTGTTGTATTCAGCACAAACTTTGTTCATCCTCAATGCAATGAGCCCGTATTTAACATGAGGGCTTGTCATTTCAACTGCCAAAGTTGGCAGTTGCATTTACCTTTTTTTCCCCTTCTGTTTTTTAATGATAACTTAACATGACACATTTTAATACAATTAAATGAATTTATTTAAATTTAAGAGCAGGCTTGTATGTTTTGTTGACAGGCTTGTGCTACAGCTATGATGCATCCAGTTTATTTTGTCCATTCTAAAGGGAAGATTATAGACACCTGGAAACCCACCCGAGGCTGGTAACAATCTTTATCAGAGGGACTCCGCTGGTACAGCTGGGGACTGTGGATGAAAATGTTTCGGACTTGTAACAACTGTGGATTTGCTGTTCTAATAGGCAGGTGACTATTAGAAGCCCACCTTAAGAGCATTTTCATCTGGATCCAAGTGGGTTGGAGGCATTGCAGTTCTTTCCTTGAGAAGCATTGTTGAAAATTTAATATTTTAGTGATACAGCTTTTATGTAAACTGGAAGGCTCACACTGGACTTAAAATTTGCAATCTTCTTTAAAAAAAATATTTTTTTCTCTGCTTCTTTCATCAGTTAAAACACCAACATTCTCTTTACACTTCAAGGGCTATGAAATTTCTTCTTTGTATCTGACTGAACTTGCATGCAGTGCTTGGAAACAGTTTTGGAAAGATCTGAAGTTCGGAATTTTTATGAGATATTAACAACATGTACCTCCGTCTGTAATAAAACCATTTGCCACAGTGGCATTGTTTAAAAAACAGAAGCTCTTTTTATTTATTTATGTAATGGATGTTTCACCCCCCCCCCCCCCCAAATGATTGGAAATGATGCATAATAAGATATTCTGTCAACAATGGCTATTTACCTTAAATTACATTTTAATTGAACTTAAAATATAATTGAAAAATAATAAATTATAGATAGATCTAAAGTTCACGATACAAATCCCATGATCTCGTCCACAGTTCGTGAAAGATTCCCATTCATTATGGAAAATCCAGTGCAACAGCACCCAGACTATTTGCTATAGTTACATGACCCTTTTCACCCAAGAGAATCGCAAACATAGGAACTCGACGTCCACTGCCCTTCCCTGAGTGCATTTTTACTGAGATCGATGACGCGTGTCACCTGTCTTAACCCAGCACGGGTCACCTATTCACCTGCCTAATTGAGTCTCTCAGATCGAGCCCTCGCCGCGGCTGGCCAATAGCTGCGCAGTGCGGTGAGTGGTGAGCTGAGCGGTGATCACCGTGCTGCGCCGCTATTGGCCAGTCGCGTCGGGCTCGATCTGAGAGACTCAATTGGTCAGGTAAATAGCTGCAAGTTGGCAGGAAGAGCTAGAGAGCGGAGATACATGATGATGTCAACACGGCTGTGATCCTTTCGGTCTGGCAAACGCAAGGTCTTTTTAACCCATCGATTCCTTGATATAAATAGTAATGGTCCGGTGGGATTGTACAAGTAATGTTCTGCTTGATCTCAGAAGTGGTCGTTGTGTCGGGTCTGTCCTTTAAGGCGCATTGCAGCGTTGCTCAAGGACTAGTGATCATCTGCAGCATCCGGAGGAGTCCAGATCCTACTGGTATGTAATTCAGAACCAAACCACTGATAGAATCTGTATGTATGAGCAAAGATGAGCATGTTTAATGCATTTGAACCACATACGTTGGAAGATGACGCCGATTCGCTTATATTTAGGCCGAATGATTATTAAATATATTTATTAAATTACATTTATGGTCACTAAAAAGTTAACAACAACATGTCATATATATTGCAGAGATAATTTGAATAACACGTTTAGACTTGTATTATGATAGAAGGACACACAAATATAACCATGCTTTATTTCTCTTTTAAATGCCACCGTAAATTAATATAAACCAAACTCCCGTTTTTTAAATATTTATTTCAGTATATTACAATAAACATTAGTTCCGAGCAACATCCAGATAGTTGTACAAATGGGCTTGAAATTTTAGTTATTTCTAGAAAACGTAAAATAAATTAAATTATTACTGGAAGTTTGTGCAAAATTATCGATGATTAGGTTGTTATTATGTGCTCTTATAAAATATTGTATAATATTTTTTAAAATATTTTATTAAATAATTGTATAATATTAACAGACAGTGCTTGGAATTCAGTATTTATTTTGAATGGTTAACTAAAATAAACACATGAAACACATAGATTGTTAAAAACTTTATTGCAAATAATAATATGCATCACTGGCTATACATTTACACTTATTGTACACTTACTCACACTGATTGATTTTTAGTGCTGTATTTTTAACCTATAAGAGTAAAAATTATGTAATATTTTTCAGCCTTGGGTCTAGTAGTCTTGTGATTTGGCTGGCTCTAAATATATAAAAAAAATAAAATAAAATTAACAACAGAGAAAGTGAAGCACACTAGGTCTGAATGCATATTATTTTTATAGATATAGATAAATATATTATTTTTCAGCATATTATCTGTTTTTATAGATGCTACAATTTTAAAGAAACAAGCGCTCTTTAGTTTTAGCATAATGGTTTGGCCTAGCTCATCTAACTTTTTAAGGTATTTTTCAATATGCATTATCTATTCTCTGAATACCTTTACACCACACACACATTGGCATTATTTCAACTTCTGGCATAACACCAGTTTTAAATCTCATGCACAAAGTGAAGTGATTTGATGCCAGAAAGGCACACCTATAAACCAGCAGTATGAAGTTTGCATTTCCACCCCCCTCCCCCCCAAACACAGATGCACCAGTGTTGAGAGCAGGAAGCCGGTGTTCACTGAAAAACCACAGTCAAATGACACCGGAAGGATGGCAGCAATCACTGGGGCCTGATTCGCCACTGATGTAACCCTAGAGTAATTCTTTAATCAAACCAAACTGGTCTTTTTGTCTTAGACACCGAGTTGTTTTTATCTCAGAGGAGCTGGATCGTGACCCTTGCCAAGGACTTGTATTCTGTGCAGCACAGAGATTTGCCTGGGCGAGATTAGACACCATCTGGCTAATTTGACAGGATTGAGAGTGATGAGATATATCTTACACTTTCAGAACAAAATAATTCTTGGTGTGTTTGAACGCATGCATTTAGGAATGCATATGTTTTGTATATGAGTCCATATGTTTCACTTGAATGTTTGTCCTCACTATGGTAACAGCGTGAGCTGTGGGTATCTGATGAGATTTTGAGTGTCAGCTCAGGTGAATTGTGTGTCTGTGACAGTTTGGAGTGCGTTTCAGCCAAGTACTTGGAGTATGTTGCACAACCTATTTAACAATGACCTTTCTGTTGCGTCCCGCTGCGGCCGATCATAGTAAACTCTGCTTGTTGAATGCTTACTACTTTGATCTCCGTTCAGTGAAATCACCTCTCATGTTCCCTTTTCTTGTCTCTTTGCACTAAGCTCTTTTCCCAATGGCTATTTTAGGCCTCGCTGTGCGTCCCTCTTCGGGGGACTGTATACACTTAATTATCTGGCACTGAATCTTGTAAGCTTCTTACCCGTTGGCAAGGGTTGGAGAGCAGGCGCGCTAACCGTGTAGCATTCATGTAGCAGAGGAATGTTTTGGTCCGGCAGATTGCCCTGTCTTGAGGTAAGGCTTTAATTCTGAAGGTTTGCAGCTTCTGTGTAAAGAGTATCTCTTGTGAGGGGAGCGTTGACTGCTATTTTGTTGCAGACATGCTGCATTTTTCAAATATTTTAGTCAAAGTTTTTCAGAGCCTCAGGATAAACTTTCATTTTTGACTTGGGAGGCTCTAAACTGAATGAGTGGTTGACGTAACTTGTCCATGAACCTTTGTTCCAGCATCACGTTTTTAGGTTAAAATTCATGTTTGAGGGAAAAGTGTATTTGTATATTTTAGAGTATTTTTCCAGCTCTTGCATATCTATTTGATCTATATATATCTATAGTCTTAATTTTATAATAGATCTATAATCTATTTGTCTATACATTTTGTTAAACATTTAAGCATAATACGTCTTTTGATTTAATATATACAGTATATTTAAAATTACACAGCATGTATGCTGTAAGTGGTCACCGTTAATCCAGGACAAAATTACAATTACTAAATGTACACGGTGTTCACCAAGGACACGTTAATCAAAAGTGACAGCAAAGACATTTATAATAAAACAATTTAGAAGTTTCTATTTATCAAAATAGCAAAAATAATAAGCAGTACAAGTGTTTTCAACATTGATAATAAGAAATGTTTCTTGAGCAGCAAATCAGCAAACTAGAATGATGTAATAAATGCTGAAAATTCACGTTTGCCATCACAGTTATAAATTACATTTTAAAATATATTAAAATAAAACTGTTATTTTAAATTGTAATAATCATAGTATTACCGTTTTACTGATAAATAAAAAAAAATGCAGCCTTGGTGAGCATAAGAGACTTCTTTCAAAAGCTTTAAAAAATTTTTACTCACCACAAATGTTTGTACACATGTAAAAATATGTACAAATAATATAGTTACACAACATGTGTAGTACTGGTCATATTCTTAATGGATAAATAATGAAATTATTTAATATGTTAGTAAAACAAGTATTTAAAAAAGTCTTCCTGGTAGTCTGTAAAAGTTTTACTTTACTTTAAGTTTTAACTGTTAAATGTTAATTTGCAATCATAATATGAAATCATAAAAACTACAGTAATTGTATAATTACTATAATAATTAATCAATAATAAATTTTCTTGTTAGAGATTTGTTTAAAGTGTGTGTATACTATAATAATTAATAAATAATACATTTTCTTGTTAGAGATTTGTTTAAAATGTGTGTGTGTTACTTGTACATTAATATCATCTTAAAGGTTACAATGAGCAACAGAGCAGGCTTGACATTTACTTCTAAATCTAATTTTAATATTATGTTTCTACTCCAATTCATTGCTAAAATAGGCGTATAATAATTGACACAGTGGCTGTCACAACTTGTTTTTATGACATATTTATTAAATAATTAAGAGTTAACTACAGGTTAAGTAAACTATGAATATATAGGCTAATATATTTAGCGAAATGCTCATTCATTTTTTTTCTAGTGAGCTGTGCATGCTGAATGATTTGGTCAATGACATTGTGACATTATTTACAAGCTGTTTATTGACGCCTTTCAACAGTTGAAACACTGAGATATTACATGATAAGTCAGATGTTCATTTGTGTTTATTTAGTGTTATAACTAGTAGTAAAGAGGAAGAGATGATCGCGTTCACTCACGCTCCATGCTGCTGTTTGAACCGAGGGTCCTATTCAGCGATCTGTCATGCCGCATCAAAGACTGTCAAAATAGCAGTTATTATTTGTAGGGCTGGGTAAAAAATATTGATATCTCGATATTAATCGATTCTCATTTTTATGGAACGATATCGATTCTTAAAGGGGTCATATGATGTGATTTCAAGTTTTCCTTTCTCTTTGTAGTGTTACAAGCTGTTCGTGAATAGATAAGATCCCTAAAGTTGCAAAGACTAAAGTCTCAAACCCAAAGAGATATAATTTATTAAAGTTAAGACTCGTCCATGCCCTCCTAAAACGCCTCGTTTAAACACGCCCCGGCATGTCTTCATCACTGTGTGAGAAGATTTGCATAACACCGCCCAAATGTTCATGCAAAGAAAGAAGGCGTAACTTTGATTCTCGCTGTAGTATTGTTGCCGCCACCGCCATGTCGTGGAGACGCTGTGTGTTTCGTTG